TGTTAAGCCATTTAATTCCATGGGAATAAAACAAAGTGTTATGATTCAAGAGTGAGGCTTGAAACAAATATGATCATAGGAAAAGATTAGCTAAGGGAAGATAATATTAATGTAAATGCTTCATTACATACTGCATTTGTTTTAAAAACAGTAACCACTCTAAAATCCAAAGTTCACCTGCTAGAGCAGTCATGGCTTCAGCCCAGCTTGTTTTCCTATGCCAGGCCATGCTGAATGAGATGGGAAGAAAAAGAGAATATTATGGCTTTCTAATGCACAAGCTGCCCCAGCCCTACAATAATTAGCAAGGCCTAGAGATTGTTCTGACATATCCTAAGTTACAGCCATAAAAGACTATTCCTACAAAAATTACTATAAAGGGAGGACTTCAGTGCTATCTGATGGAATCATGGAATGGTCAGAGTTGGAAGGGACCTCTAGAGATCAGTCAGTCCAACTCCCCTGTTAAAGCAGGATCCCCTAGAGCCCATTACCCAGGGCTGCATCGAGAAGGGTCTTGAATATCTCCAGAGAAGGAGACTCCACACCCTTCCTGGGCAGCCTGTCCCAGGACTCTGTCACCCTCACCCTAAATAAGTTTTTCCTCATATTTCAATGGAACTTCCCATGTTCCAGCTTGTGCCCATTACCCCTTGTCTTGTCTCTGGGCACTACTGAGCAGAGTCTGGCTCCATCTTTCCTGCACACACCCTGAGTTGTAGGCATAAGGTCTCCCCTCAGCCTCTCGTATTCACTTCTTTTCCTATCTTGCTGCCTCTAAAGGTGGTAGTTTGGGACCAGGCTTCACCATTTTGTATTGAATAAGAATTTCTTTCCCCTGGGGCATTCTCTGGTACATCCTGAGGCTTTAAATAAAAATTAAGTTTGTTCTTGCAGATGGAATTATGGAGAAATGAATTTACATAATGAAAGGTTAGCACACAATATGAGATTTTGGATTGTGTTTCATATGCAGAGGTACTTCTCTTGGCTCTTGCAATTATTTAACTTCCTGATTTGGATAGTTGTGAGACTTAATCTCACTTCTAAAAGTACTATCAAATGTGCCTTTTGCAGATATTAAAAGAATAAGAACTTCAATTCAGACCCATATAATTATAGTTTTTGAGAACCTGATTTGCAGATGAGTAACACACACACAGAACACTCACAGGCAAGAAGACATACCCTCAAGGGAAAACATTACAAGTTTTCCCAGCCTGAGCAGATTCAATTGTAAACACTGAAAAAAACCAGCTCACAACAAAATCTTTAATAAAACTCACAATAGGAATGTATTTTCATTAAGTGTAGGAGGTCATAATAGCCTTTAGGAAGAGATCAGACTAAATGAGGAAATTTAGAAGTTGCCTTATATCTTTTAACCTCTGTAATATTTTTTTCCATGCTTGGAACGTATTTTTTATTACCATTATTATTTATGAAGCTCATAGGAGCAAAGGAAAAAATTTGCCTGTTCTCACATCACATTGTTAATCTTTCATAACTAATAAGCAGCTCCATCAACAAAGAGGTTTGTTTTATATAATGTATTCCAGACTCCGTTGACATGGAGTGAAAGTAAAAAACTATCCAGTATCAGAAAAATCAGTCCTAGCCTCTTAATGTTAGATGTTCTCAAATGCTTCTTTTTAACATCAGTTCTTTTTAATTTTGACTAGCACATCATCAAAATACCTTGTGAACTAAGTTACCAGGTAAGTATTCATATCACTAGAAAGTGAGATTAAACATACAACTGATTTATCCTAAATCTCATCAAAGACAAATTTGAACTCTATAAAACTGGATGAGAGCATCAATATCCAATCCAAAAGACTGCAGAAACATTTCCATCCTTTTTTATACCTGCAACTAGAATCAACTTCCCCATTTTCAAATCAGAGGAGTTGCTGCCTTACTCAGTCTCTGATGGGATGTTACTTATTTTATCATTCCTTAGCTATGACAGATAATGAACAAAAAAGATTCTTCCATCCATCCATCAAGCTGTTCCACAACAGCAAAAGGACAGCTTTGGGTCAGAGGTGTGTTTCTGTTAATGTCTCAGACTTTTATGGTATGATTCAGCTTGGCATTTTTACGTGGCCTTTTCAAGCTGTTGTTTTGATTTCTTAAAAGATATGTATATAACATATATTCCCATTTTTACCTTCTGTAGTTATCCAGTAGTGCATACAATGTTTCTGCATGGTTGAGACTCCTCAGCTTTGCACAGTCTTGCTGAACTCAAACTTCATACCCCGCAGCCACTGGTACCTTTGTGGTGCCCACCCATTCCCCATCATCTGTCCTTCTTTTTAGCAAGAAAGAAAGCACTTTGGTAGTTTTTCTGACAGATCTTTGACATCAAACTGAACATCAACCCTTTTTTTAACTTGATTTCTAGTGTCTGGGTGCAAGTGATTAAATCAGTGATTGGATCTGCATTCACATGGTTTGCTTATCATACATCCCTTAAGAGAATATTTTAGAGTATTCTTTACGGTATTGAAGTCCTGATTTACCCTCTCTTTGCATTTCCATGCATTCATTTAATTAATCCTAGTTGTATTCTTTGGAACACTGGAAGATTTCTCTCCTTTCTTGAATGTTTTACATTTTTAACATGTTTCCAGTTAGGGATATTTCCCTACTTTTGTTCACCATTTAGGCAGGGAACACGTTCCAGTTTATGTTCACAAATCAGTCTAATCTTTTCTGCTCTTGCCTTAATTTTCTCTTTTATCAACTACAGACATCATACTTAACAGGTCAAAACAAGGTTTCAGATTTAAGCAGTGCTAGCCCAAACTACCACCTGGGGAATTATCTGCTACCTAATCTATTGAACTGTTTACATCACATTATCATGATGGAATCGACCATTTTTCTCATCTTGTGGTGTTACTGGAGGATATTCTTGGCCATCCTCAGTCTTCAGGAATTTAATTGTACTACATCCATATGCTTCTATTCCAATAAAAGGCAATTTATTCCTTTTTAGGAGATCTTAGAACTCCTACTACAATTGCAATATCTCTCATCATTAAGGATATAGCCTCTGAACATCCTGCTTTTCCAGAATGAGCAAGCTTGCTTAGGCTTTATAAGGTCTGATGGTCACAGGATTTCAAATATATTCCTACTTTATTTGGCAAAAACAACGGTGGTGCAATAGTCAAGTCACAGGTTCCCTTATTAATTAACTGAATTCTACCTGGTACTTTTTACCATAAAAGCCTTTAAAAGTTCAATTTTTCTTTTCTCTTCAGCAGACTACTAGACATTCATGTTAATAAGGAGTAGATGCAACACAGAGAACCAGAGGTGTTTTTCCACTCTATCTGCAGACATGCAAATAGCTTGATAGAAGGAGAAATCAGACAAATACATGTTTAATTCAATTATGAAATGAAATTCACAGCACTATCATTACTTTGTATTAGTGAGATGCAACCTAGTTTTGCATTGTGTTCCTGAAGTTATATATCATCTCTAACAGTCACAACAGCTCTTCATTTAGTCAACTGGACTAGCCAATTTGTTGGGATTTTAAATCTATAAATATACAGGTTTAAAGTAGCAGCTGCAGATTTTGCAGGAGTAGATTATTATAAAAGTTTTGAAGGTTAAGGAGAAAAATACTTGACTCCTGTTGTGAGGTGAAGTGACTGGTATTAGACATTAGTCACACACTCTTTTTTTGCAATAGGAGAGAAAAACAAAGAGCACACAAACAGAGCAGGGAATACACATTAATCATTACTAAGTCTTAAAAAGTAATCATTAGATTACAATTTACATGGTCCTCGTAGCAACAAGAAGCCTAAGGGAAAATGTCAATATTAATTCTGTGTGCTTCTAACACATACTTGTAAAAGACATTTAAGGAGCATTCATTTTTTTGTCTTCCAAAAGTCAGGCTCTTATGCTAGCACTCTTTATTGGCACTGAATAGTCCCCCATTCTCTGAGCACTTCTATTTAATGGAATTAGGTTTAGCAGCATATATCTTTTTTCTTTTTTTTTTCTTTTTTTTTTTTTTTCAGTTTTAGTATTCAGCTGGGTTATTAAGAAAGTCCCAGTGGATAATATAAGGAACTATGTTTACTCTTGAACCTGTTTTTCCAGAATTTGGATGATAAAAGTTCCATTTACAAATTAGAATGGATATTCCATTTTAAGCCCTTCAGTTTCAGTTCTTGGGATTTTTATTTTATTTGTTTTTAATAAAAATATGCTGTGGCCTATGAGGTTGTCATTGTTTATAAATATATGGTATTTAAAAGCATCACCTCTTTGCAATTTGGTTGCTATTTTCTGGAACTTTAAAGTGTGCTCTGTAAATAAGTGTATGCCCAGAGTTTTTATACTTCCCTCACTTGCTCTTTCAACACAGTTTGTTAGTTCTCATTTTCAATGTGAGAAAATAAGAATTCTTTCCTGACCTCCTTCATGCAGTGGTCTAGGTGGCCTGCCCTCTGACTTGCTGTACTCAAGGGTCAGCCTAGTGGGTTGAATTGTGTAATGTTTATTCAGCATGAGTGGACTTAAGTGCAATTCCAGTTGCAGTCACTGGAATTTCAGCTGCTTGCATCAATGTTTATGACTTTGTGCAGTTCAGCTGTTCAAAACTATACACAAAATAATGCTATTTGGAAGTCCATCAACCAAATTCATGCCCCATCTGATGTCAACCAGCTTTTCATGGGGATAGAGCTTTCTCTCCTCTCTGGTTTTCATCAAAAGGTGCCAAAATTTATCCCCTTTCCCAATCACCAAAGCCCGTAGGGCTTGTGTGCTTAACCTGTGCTATGGGAGCAAGTGAGAGGAACCACCAGACAGCGGGGTTACTCATCGTGGAAGAGTCCCTGTTTCCTTGACCAAGCATAGCTCCTTCAGCACACGTTTTCCTCTCTCCTCACCTCTACTCTGCGGCACAATATTTCTCTTGCTCTCTCTCTCACTATCTCTTTTCTGTATCTCTCGGAAATCAGACTGGAGTTCAGAGCACTTTCACTACCTTTTATGAGGTAGAGTGTGATGTCATAGATGGGGGCAGGGCTAGTCAACTTTCTACCCACCCACCCACCTGTGCTGAGGGAGCTACGCTTGAGACCGGAAGCGGTGACTCCTCGACGGTGAGTAACCTCCTGTCTCATCTATATCTTTGACTCTATAGATCTGGGGGTGGAGGGAAAAGACATGAGGGGGGTGTTCTTGTTAGCTGTGGGGTTTTTTTAATTCACCATAGGGCTCACAGAATGAATTGCATGTGTTGTTTTAGTCACCTGTGAAACATTATTTCCAAGCTGTTCTGAAGACCTGGAGTTCATGTCACCTGCGAAGCAATCAGCACGTTTCTTTACAGAGGTGGTCCATTTACTGGTGGTTAAATTGATCCTTCAATGTTTATCTTGCATTGTGAGGAGGCTGACTCCAGTCCCCTTGAACTCAATTGCTAAACTTGCATTAATTTAATTACAGTAGTGCTGGGCCATCATTTTTCTAAAGTACTTTGTGATTAAAGATAGATGGGTTTATTAACATATTTATGATTGTTAGCTGGGGATAATGGCTGTTTATGCAGGACAGGATTTTTATTCTCTGTTTTCTCTGTTACTGTTTTTATTTGCTTTATCCAGAATCTTTATGAAGCTATGACAACAGGACAATTATAAGACCTACTTTATAGATGAAATAAAATTCAAAAGCAAATTGTGGAAGCTGTAAAATTAAGCAGGAAATCAAATCCCAGGAGATATGGTTGAGATTTAACCTTTGAAATGACAAATCAACGCATTTTATTTTTCCTGGGATAAGAACTTGAGATGGTCAGGGATATTACTACCTGAATTTCTTGGTGTTTTTCTTGTGTCACTGCCTATACATTACTATTTTACTTTAAAGCACTGTCTTGTTACCTGTTCTTCTTGGCCCCAGGTATGACTGCTTCACTGTTTTAATATCCCTCAACATTTTAAAAAATACAAGTTGGACTATGAAGATGTTCCTTTCTTGTTCTGCCTCTAGGGTATCTTTTAAGGCTGTCAAGATGTCAGAGCTCTCATACTAAAGGGCAGAAGAAGGATCGTATGAAGATTTTGACCCCTAGGGATACTGCAAATCATGCTATTCTTGTTCGTTTAAAGCTCTTTACCAGCTCCATGTGGAGCCCTTGTCATATCTCAGTGAAAGGCACTAAAAGGCAGCAATGCCTACCCTATAAATCAAAGGCAAAGAGAGTGCAGTCACAGCCTTTTCAGGAGAGGTGGTCCATAGTCTGATTGATGAAGTACTTCTATTTTCAGGTGACTAGGTGGCTTTGAGGAATCACGTATAAGATGCAGAGCCTTCCATCTTCTGGTCACTGGCATGTATTGGGGATCAGTCAGCAGTGATGGATAGATATTCCTCCCTGATGACTCAGTGATGCTCTTTGTATCAATGCATAGGAGATCTGAATGAAACTCTAGGAGGATGAAAGTCTTGTTTACAAAGCCGCAAAAACTTTCTCTGATGACTGTTTCCCTTCCTGTCAGAAAAATAAGGACAAAGAACATAAAAATTGGCTCCCCAACAGGAGGTAGCTTTTCTAGCTTTGAATATCGTGTGCGAGGAGTTTAGCGCTACTGCTTATTCCTTTAGTGCACCAAACACTTAAGTCTCAAAATCTTCCTTTGCAAAGCCAAGAACTTGTCTAGCAAATTTAGCTTCCCTAGCAAACATTTTGATCTTTTAAGTAGAAAAAGAAAAGCAGGTTAGTCAATCACTAATGTTTCATTGGGAAAACTTTATAGGAATTGCTGCTCTAAAAGATGGTTTGAGGTTTGTTCTTTTCAGATGCAAATGCTTTGAGGTAAAATTTAATTTAGATCCTAAGCCCATCCTTTGCTGATGAGTTTACAAAATTGTTTTTGCACATAGTTACTCTTGCATAATGCAGGAGACTTTGATTTTTCCACAGAAGACATAAAACATAAGGACCAACTGTTCAGTGCCCCTACTCTCACTTCAGTGATACAAAAGCATTTTCGTGGCATTTGGAAGGAAATTCTTTTTTAAAGTGATAAAAGGATTGGGAACAAGAAATCAGAATTGGTATGATTCAGTAATTAAGGTGAATTAGAGACACTGATCAGCACTGAGCGAATATTATGGAACAGAGATGTCAGTGGATTGCCTTCAATCCAGAAAAGAATTGATCTTGGCCAGTCAGGAGTGGTGTCCCCAGGGCTCAGTGCTGGGGCCTCTCCTGTACAACATCTTTGTTGATGATTTGGATAAGAGATAGAGTGTACCCTCAGTAAGCTTGCAGATGACACTCAGCTGGGTGGAACTGTGGATCTCCTTGAGGGCAGGAAGGCTCTGCAGAGAGATATGGACAGGCTGGATTGATGTGTCAAGGCCAATGGCTTGAGTTTCAATAAGGCCCAATGTTGGATCCTGCATTTGGGCCACAACAGCCCCTGGCAGCTCTACAGGCTGGGGGAGGAGTGGCTGAAGCTGCCCAGCAGAGAGAGACCTGGGGGTGCTGACTGACAGCAGCGGAACATGAGCCAGCAGTGTGCCCAGGTGGCCAAGGAGGCCAACACCATCCTGTCCTGCATCAGGAACAGTGTGGCCAGCAGGACCAGGGAGAGGATCCTGCCCCTGTATTCAGCCTTGGTGAGGCTGCATCTCAAGCACTGGGTGCAGTTCTGGGCACTGCAGTGTAAGAAGGACATGGAGGTGCTGGAGAGGGTGCAGAGAAGGGCATTGAGGCTGATGAGGGGTCTGGAGAACAGGTCTGATGACAAGAGGCTGAGGGAGCTGGGGCTGTTCAGCACGGAGAAGAGGAGACTGAGGGGAGACCTCATTGCTTCCTACAACAACCAGAAAGGAGGCTGTGGTGAGGTGAGTGTTGGCCTCTTCTCCATAGTGACCAGCAATAGGACAAGGGGAGATGGGGTCAAGTTAAACCAGGGCTGGTTCAGATTGGATATTGGGAACAATTTCTTTACAGAAAGAGTGGTGAGGCACTGGAACAGGCTGCCCAGGGAGGTTGTGGAGGCAGCATCCCTGGAGGTGTTAAAAAAACAGGTAGACATATAACCTCGGAAGATGGTTTAGTGGTCAGGGCTTGTAGGGGCTGGTGGTTGAACCTGATAATCCTGAAGGTCTTTTCCAACCTTGATGATTCTATGAGCAAATCAGCATTTGACTGATTTATGTATGGGGGGAGTTTGTAGAGGGAGTGATATTCAAAATGACATAAACTGTTGCGACAATTAACCTGGAATGTGCCTGTGCCAAATCTAATGCATTTTTGTCCATGAAACCCCAGGATGTGGGTTTGCCTGAGTAACCTAACAGGGGGAGAATAAATAGCCTAATTTTTCATTTACTGGGCTAATTCCTCTGTTAAATTATTTTACTGGCAGCTATGATTAAAAAAAAATAATAATAAAAAAAATTAAAACATCCAAAGTGCACAGATTCCTGCATTTTGCAGCTTTGGGTTGAGTGTGTATTCAGTCAATTGTGATGTTTAACTGTATATTATTTACACATAAATTAAAATATAGTAAGCCCTAGATTTTATTTAGTGTGTAATATGAAAACGTTTGAAAGCAAACATCTGAGCAACTTGTTCCAATATATGCTAATTTAAATGAGTTGAATATTCTGAAGTGTTTTGCAAAGTGGATGTTACTTTATGATAGGGCATTCTTAAAAATTGTGTTGGTTTATGTTTGCAAGCACATTATGTTTTACTGACTCAAAGCAAAACCAGTAAGTAGTATTTTTATACCTATATATTTAAGCAGGTCAGCATTTAAATTACAGATTTGCTCCTGTGTCATGCTGGCAAGGTGTGAACAATACTTTAATGATGCAAGATCATAAATAGGTATCAAACATTTTTTTCTGTATGATTCAGATATGTAACATTCCCAAATTTTCTGTATTTGCCAGGCTAGGCTGCTTTCTCTTACAAGGTGAATTCAAACTTTGTGGGTTGGTTCTTACCTTCTTCTTTTTGTATATGAGAAGTGAGGGAGAGCTGTGAAATGCACCATCTGTTTGCAGACCGTGTCAGCTGGCAGAGAGATGCTCATCACCCTGCCCTCTCTTACTGCAGTTTCAGGCTGGTATAACACCATTGACTCAAATTGAATTACTTTCAATTTCATCTTCTTTAAGCAAAAGAAGTCACAAAGCTAGTGCACAGCATTCTAGATGGCTCTTCATGTTGATTTGAATTGCATTCCTTTTAAGCTTCGACCTCAGCTCGTTTGAACTGTCAGCAAAAATGCTCAATTATACTTGGGCTGAGCAGAGTGGCTCTAGGAGGAACTAGGGCTGCCTTAACACCCCAGACTTGCTGTTTCTGGGACTGTTGCATCTCAAATATGTTAAACATTGCTCTGTTTGACCATAATCCTTTGGATTTTTGTCAATCCCATCTGAATATCTCAAAGCAAACACAGAGGTGTACCCTTTTAAAACTGAAGCAGAAGGAAATAGTGCCATTGTTCCCTTTCTGCAAAGAGGAATTCTGTGACACAGGAAAGGCAGAAAAGCTCTAAAGAGTCACAATGAGTTTCAGACACTACATTCTTCTCCAAGACTCAGATACATTTCAAGACCCACTTTTCTCTGTTGTCCACTCCATATTTCCACTCTGGATGACCAAATAAAAATTTTTAAAAATAGAAACAGGAGGAAGAGCTCGCTGTAGTTAAGAAGAACAGGTTAAAAATAATAGAGTTGGAAGCAAATCTTGCACTACCAGGGGAGGCCATCCCACCCAAGTTGTGCAAAATATGAGAGTAGGTCTATGGTATAATGAAAATGGAGTGGTTAGTTATTCAGAAAGATTTTGTTTGGAGATTTTTTTACTATTATCTCCATTGCTGTGTGGGGAGTGACTCATCTAGCCAAGTGTAGTCATCTGCATCTGAGATGTTCACTCCAGGCTTACTTTATGATTCGTGGAGATCAATGGCCATTTCTATAGAGCAGATATTGTGGTTTCAGGTAGATGCTGACAACCAGTTAGGTTAGTAACACCTTAAATAAATGACAGAAACATGGGTAGGTGAATTGAACCGTGTATTCAGACAAGAATAGAGTGAGGGCATTGGCCCCGGGGCTC